GTAGCCCGTCACTGTACCGACTGAGCTAACCCGGCATATAGTAGGATTCACTCACTCACCCATGGCGCTGAGTCCTTCTTGAAAAACTGCCAATTGTGCAGCTACTCAAGAGCTTCCCAGGATTTTGTGGAACCCGAAGGTTCATTACCGTGTTCACAAGAGCCCTCCAATGGTTCCTATCCTGAGCCAGATCAACCCAATCAAATCATCTCATCCTATCTCTTTAAGATCCACCTACGCCCTGGTCTTCCCAGTGGTTATTTCCATCTGGCTTTCCCACCAATATTCTATACGCATTCCTCTTCTCCTCATACGTGCTACATGCTCTGCCCATCTCATCCTCCTTTATTTGATCATTCTAATTATACTTGGAGAAAAGTACAAGTTATGGATCTCCTCATTATATAGTAGGACCAGGATACGAAATTTCAATGAATGTCAGTTTTCTATTCCTACAGTTTTTTTTTCTGTTTTTCGTCACTTTCACTGCTTTCTACTAAGCACAAACATGCACAAACACGCATACATATATACCTACGTATAATATAGTAACAATTTCGATTTACGCAAGGCGTTCCGAAACGAACGATTGCGTAAGTCGGGGAGCTTCTGTACGCTCGTTAATAACACAGCAGAAAATTTGAATCTAAATTAAAAATACACGTGTACACATTTCGTATACAGCTTCCAAACACGTACATGTATTCCTTCTTATAGTAATAAGAAAAAGTAGATAATTCTGATAAATATGAAACGTGGAATTATGGCATCTGAATAATAAACTGTCTAGGCAGAAACCGACGGTTCAGTACCGATACTACCGGAGTCCGCCAGTGAACAACAACCCAACTGCTTATGATCCATCTTAATGTTATCGTCCCATCAACTCTGTATTGCAAGTGCAGGCTCTTCAACAAAACGCCCCCCCCCCACACACACAAATACTGTGTTGTCACGTGTACTAGTGACTAAGACCGCCTCTTGTTGTCTAGTGGTCAGCGTTCCTGGCTACAGACCCAGATGTTTGTCTTGTTATTAGTGACTAAAGACGCAAGTTAGGAACGGTGAGCCTATTTAGTGGATATTCACTACTTGTAACTGTAACTAACTGGAATTCCTCTTTTATATTCATTTATTACCCTTATTAGCTTTTTCGATGATTTCCATGACCGTTGATATTGGTCCGTATTGATGACGACTGTTTAGTATATGTTGGGTGTAAGCAGATTCATCTCTATTTAATCTTATGTTCCTTATGTGGTCGCTATATCGTGTTGATAATTTCCTTCCTGTTTGGCCTATGTACAAGTATACTTGATGGCAACTTTGGCAAGTTAATTTGTAAATACCACTTTGCTCGTATGGGTTTGTGTTGTGTTTTTCTTGTAGTGCTCTGCCTGTTGTGTGGGTTGTTTTAAATGCTATCTTAATATTAGCTAATAAGAGTAATATAATGAATACAAACGAGGAATTCCAAATATACTACTACAAAAAACAACAAATTGACAGATGAACAGAAACAAACAATCAAAACAACATGTTTGACCTTATTATACATCACTTGAACACACCCTCTTCAAGGTCATAAACACAGCAAGAATATAATACGAGACATAGCACCATTCAAAACAGTACAAACGACACAGCAAGCAAGTAAACTACACTATTAATAATAAGGTAAGGCCTAACTAGACACATTAATAAACCTAAAAGCATTATATATAACTATATAAGATAGAATAAAATAAAAAATAATATAATAATATATTTACAGAACATAAAATCAAGAGAAATAAACATCTCCCACCATGAGGAGGAAAACAACATGACCCAATGTCGGCTCAGGATATTTTAATATAATAACTAATTTTTACATGGACATTTTAATACAATTTTAAATGCATTGGGAGGCTCCTGTATGGAAAAGTGAACACAATATTGCGTGCAGTGGAAAACCCCAGTCAGAATAACCAGGAAATACACTAAAAGAAACATCATCATAAGTAAATCTACACTTCAAGAAGCGCCATTGTGAGTGCCTAAGACAAACATCAAAACCAACCGTGATAAAAAATTTATATACTAAGCAGTAGACATAGCTTAAGTGCATATTGTTAAAATACCTTATGTGACAGTATTTCCTTATCGTAGAGGTGCGCCTCTGAGGATGATTCTTTTGAATCGAAACATGTAAGGTGAATGAGGACTGAAGAGTTGTAAACTCGTATATCACACTGGAGTGAACATTGTCCACTCTGCCACATCAGTATTATTCACCAAGTCTCAAATGGAACAACTAAATGTAGTCGTCGTGATGGAAGGTAAACTTATGGCCACAATATTGTGACGTATAGACCAAGTGCTAGGTAACGGCTCGATAAACATATTCCAGCAGAGACCGATTCTAGGTAAACAGCCCAGCCTGTTGCTAAGTAAAGACAAAAAAATACACGTAAACAGTAGACATGGAAACCGCCCCGAGGATATTATGAAAGCCTTTAAAATGTTGAGAAAATTCGGAAATAAGAAGTCCCGTATAGATATATAATGATTTCATACTCTATGAGAGAAATTCAGTCGTAAGACATTGCCGCCGGCAATAACGTCATAGCGTTATGACGAAATATCTTTATTATCAGCGAAATGGTTCGATTCTTTCTCCCGGATGGATACGCGACAAATTCAGTGACTGCTTGGCATTTGTTTCGCCCCAATTGGCCTTCCTGCATAGGAAGAAGAATAATACGTATTATACAAGAAAACGGTTAAAAATTGGGTGAAAAATTACCGTCCTGTATTCGAAATGATAATGGAATGTTTCTGTTTCAGTACTGTTAAGAGGTTGGCTACCCTGTCACTGTGACCTACATATCCGGTGTACAGTCGAGGTACGTCTCTTTCCTGGTATGAAAAGGTCTTTATAAATAATAAGACGGTGTTTTGTGTGTATGTTTATATACATATGTGTACAAGTTCTGATTAATTATCTGCCTGAAAGTATATCTTAAAAGATTCAGTGAGACAGTGCAAATGGTAGGCTTTAATGTGTGTATTATCCTGGACGTGTAATGGCGAGTGCACCCAATTTTACAAACTTGTGCTTCCTCTGATCCACAACGAAATCGAAGTGGTTTTTCCCTCTGAACCATGAAACTGAAGTATGTGTGAAGGAAGAATACGCCATAACGTGCATTTATTGATTTAACGAAAGAAAGTGCATATAAGATTAGTGGGTGTGTATTGAAAAACAATGTGTCTTTGAGGTTATTCTTGCACTGTTATTAATAATCCCGTGTGAAGTACGCGTAGGTACAGTGACTTGCGCAAAATGTGTTTTAGTGGTTATATGGACAAAAAGTGAATTCGATTTTATGAGTGCATATATGGTATATGATACACACACCGTCCCAAGTGCAAACAATATATATTATATGTCTTTGATCAAAGACATATAATATATATTGTTTGCACTTGGGACGGAGTGTGTATCATTTATCGTATAGAGTGCAACAGGATGCTGAGATAAAATATACATGGTATGACAGAAAACAGGGTGTAGTTTTGGTATATACCGTCTGTATATTACACGTGTAAGTCGGTTTTTAGTCAGAATGATATATTTTTTTTTTTGCATTCCTATAAGTACTTGTAAGAAGAGGGTGCAAAGTGAATTTCTAGTTCCGACTCAAGAAGTTATTTTTGAATTTATATCTTAGTTCTGCGTGACGGAGATTGGTGGGTATAATGTATGTTCTTTTGGTCCAAAGATTGTCGAGTGTAAAGTGAAGTTCAAATTCTCTAGCGTCACGTTATATTTTTTGTGTAATATATACAGTGATGTGTAGTGAGGTTTCAAGTGAGCTGACATTCTTTTAATTGTATTTTATAGTTTAGTGTAGACCGTATATAGTAAAGTGTTCGTTTTTGTTTTAATGCTTTGAAGAATGTTGAATGATATTTTCTTATGATCAGATCGTAATCAGTGATTTCCATATCTAATATTTGAGCACTAGTATTGTGGGGTGGATGCCTTTCATATAAAGTATATGTATATCCATCACTTGTGTCGAAAAACGTAATAAAGTTAATAATGAGAACATTCGAAAAGAGAATATTTCGCGAACTGTTGGAAATTGTAAGAGTCAAGGAAGATAACTGTGATATCACGCACTTGAGAGCGTTCTGAAATGTCAATATTTCGAGAAAAAAATTCATTTACGACCATTATAAATATCGTAATATATTCCAGGTTTCATAGATTACGTAGAGTTCAACAGAAAAATATATGCAAGAGTTTAACATGTGAGAAAATTCGGAAATAAAATGTCCCGTATAAATATATAATGATTTTATACGCTATCACAGAAATTCAATCGTAAGATATTGCCGACGGCAAAACAGTGCTCAACTCAGCATAACGATGCGCAGCAGTCATTTGCGCACACCTTACATAATGTAGACTCACAACCTAACATTAGCGTGTATTACCGAGCTTCGCCTCACCAAGGTAAAAAATGGATGCGCAGTAGTCACCTAAGAGTGACGTCATTTACGAAGCTGCTATTTAACGGAACGTAATTTAGGACTGTCGTAACATGGAATATAAATCGAAATATGACGTTATGTAAAAAATTGAGCGTGTTGACTGTTTTCCCCCCCATAATATTAATCTATGCTCTTATATTCCGAGGTTATATTGCTACGTCACAGCTTAGATTGTGTCGAAAACGCCGCTCCCACCTCACGAGTTTGGGCATCCCCCACGGTGATACAAATGATTACTGAATATCACATATTATGGCATTATGCTGCCCTCCAATGGCATAACGTTATGACGAAAAATTTTTATTATCAGTGAAATCGTTCCCTTCTTTCTCGTGGATGGATACGAGACTAATTCAGTGACTGCTTGGCGTTTGTTTCGCCCCAATTTCCCTTCCTGGATACGAAGTAGAATAATACGTATTATACACGAAAATGAGAAAAAAAATAGGGTGAAAAATTACCGTCCTGTATTCGAATGTTTCTGTTTCAGTACTGTTAAGAGGTTGGCTACCCTCTCACTGTGATCTTCATATCCGGTGTACAGTCAAGGTACGTTTCTTTCCTGATATGAAGAGGTGTTTATAAATAATAAGACGGTGTTTTGTGTGTATGTTTATATACATAAATTGCACAAGTGCTGATTAATTATCTGCCTGAAAGTATATCTTAAAAGATTCAGTGAGATAGTGCAAATGGTAGGCTTTAATGTGTGTATTATCCTGGACCGCGTAATGGCGAGTGCACCAAATTTTATAAACTTGTGTTTCCTCTGTTCCACAACGAAATCGAAGTGTTTTCCCTCTGAACCATGAAACTGAAGTATGTGTGAAGGAAGAATACGCCTTAACGTACATTTATTGATTTAACGAAAGTAAGTGCATATAAGATTAGTTGGTGTGTACTGAAAAACAATGTGTCTTTGAGGTTATTCTTGCACTATTATTAATAATCCCGTGTGAAGTACGCGTAGGTACAGTGATTTATGGAAAATTTGTGTTTTAGTGGTTATATGAACAGACAGTGAATTAGATTTTATAAGTGCATATTTAGTATGACAGAAAACATGGCGTAGTTTTGGTATGTAGTGTGGTGATTAAGTTTTCAGTCAGAATGATATACTTTTTTTTTGCATTCCTATAAGTACTTGTAAGATGAGGGTGCAAAGTGAATTTCTAGTTCCCATTGAAGAAGTTATTTTTTGAAATTATATCTTAGTTCTGTGTGACGGAGATTGGTGGGTATAATGTATGTTGTTTTGGTCACAGGAATGTCGTGTGTAAAGTGAAGTTCAAATTCTCTAGCGTGACGTTATATTTTTGTGTGTAATATATACAGTGATGTGTAGTGAGGTTTTGGAGTGTTTTCAAGAATGTTGAGATATCCATTCATCCACAGTGGATTCAAAAGTTTCCCCTTTTATGTACATATCTTGTTTGCATGAAGAATTCTTGCTTATAACAAGGTGGTATGCTAAGTGAGACACATGTTGTCATTGGTGTTATGCTGGCAATCCTGTTCAATGTCAGCGTAAAATGTGCACAGTGGTGTGTAGCTTATGTGTTATAGCATGAAGAATGGTGGCAAGTGATTTGTAAGCTACATGTGTATTTCGGTGTGATAGACAAAGGATTGCATTCTTGCCATCTATTAAACTGCTTACAGAATCACATTGTTTACAGGAAAGCACGAGTTGTTAGAGCTGACAGTCTTTTAATTGTATTTTATAGTTTAGTGTAGAACATATATAGTGAAGTGTTCGTTTTTTGTTCTAATGCTTAGAAGAATGTTGAATGATATTTTCTTAGGTTCAGATCGTAGTCAGTGATTTCCATATCTAATATCTGAGCACTAGTATTGTGGGGTTGATGCCTTTCATATAAAGTATATGTATATCCATCACTTGTGTCGAAAAACAATAATAAAGTTAATAATGGGAACATTTGATTACATTTCGTAGATTACGTAGAGAGTTTAACAGAAAAATACGAGTATATGAACGAGTGACTCTGGGGCCAGTAGTTCAATTGGTGAGAGGCGGTCCAGTCTGCATTGAGTCCTAGGCAGCCATGGGGAGATCGGTTCGGCTGAAGATTTATCGTGAGTTATTGTAATTAATTGCAATTACGAGTGATTGTACAAGGAGTGAGCAATAAACACAATTACCAATCCAATCCCCGTCCTAATCGTCACACACACCCTTGACAATATCAATCTTAGGTCCACCAAACGTACCCGAAGAACAAACACAAAAAATATGCCCACTCCAACTGGAAATGATTTCTATGGAGCGCTTGATAAGCTTGAAACTAAAGTTGCAGATGTGCCTTTCGATCCGCAGTTCAGCTCTGTCAACTGTGAAACTGAAGGCTCAAGAAATCACCCAGAAAGGATGTACGCTGGCGTCACCCCTCCGTGCATCTGGAAATACAGGATTGGCTGACACGGAGTTACTGAACTTTGCCGGAATAAGTATACTCGTGCATCTAGCGGGTGGTCTCTCAACAGTTCAGCATTTTTATTCTGGATAAAGGCATCTTACATAAAGAAAATGCACCACGTCCTTATTTGAGAATAGAAGCATCATTTCTATGCACGTGTGAAGATGTTCAGATGTAAAGGCCCACCATCTATTAGCATTCCGAATATTGATTTACTTAAACGTGAAATACCATGCTAACAACAGTCCACCACTAGACCGCATCTTCAGTCAATGCAAACCGGTTTACATTCTCACTCCAAGTTTCTTTGAGATTCATTTCAATACTGTTCTCCCATCTATGTTAAGGTCTACCAAGTAGTCTCTCTCCTTCAGGTTTTCCGATTAAACTGCGACATCTCAAATGCTCTCGTCTCGTTATTCTCGACTTGATCAGTATCATAATTTTTATCGAAGAGTAAAAAATTATGAAGCTCTTTATTATGTAATATTTTTTTTTCATTAGCTTGTTACATATCCTCGCTCACATTCATATATCCTCTTCAGCACCCTGATCTCAAAAGAGTCAAGTTAAATCGGTCAGGGCTTACAGCAATTAGGTTAGATGACAGGGATTTCAGTCTTGTCACAAAGATATTCTCCCCTTACTGGCCCTGGGGCCCACCCAGCACCTGATGCTACTTCCCCGGAAGTAAAGAAAACCTCAATTCGCACATAAAATTAGTTTTAGTTCTCTTCAACTATACGTTCTGCGAAACCATCCACGCGGACACTAGACGCCTCGGCACAATGAGAAGGAAACAGTCTTTCAGAAACATGACGGGAATTTAAATTTGATTTCTCGGTTAGTAGCCCGCCCAGCTAAACTTGTTACCGCATGTACTAGTTATTTAATTTGAATTTCTGGTTAGCTGCTCCCTCCTCCCCATTTGCACATTCTTTTACTTCACAACACATCTGCTGGACTCTCGTGTGAGGAACATCTGCACCTCTGTTGCTGCTGAAGCTATCGTCAAGCCCATCTTATCACTTTATAACATTTACATTTTCTAACATCTATAATAAATTCTATTGCTGAAAGGAAGTGTTCAAAGTAATTTGTATCATATTTCAAGCAGCACACTATTAAGAAGAAAGCAGTCTTCTGGGATTTGGCACCGTGTATATGTGGTGTTAACCGACGTTTCGGAGGAACGTATCGCCCCCATCTTCAGGGTAGAAGAAAAAGTATAAGAAATCTGCAAGCGACAACACCGTGAGAAACCCGTTTCNGCTATTATTTCACAGAGAAACAATTTCCAGAACTTCATCTAACAAGAAGGTAAGTACAAAAACGAGATTTCCTGTTGCAGGGCCAACGCTATATTAAATTATAGTCACGTTTGTTACACAGCATCAGCGCATTCTTATTAAAACTTCAACATGATAATTAAACTAATGAACATTATTCTTAAGTCATCGATCTTAACTTTCAAGACAGGAAAACTGAAAGTTTGGCAGTGATGAATCGGGCCCACATACTCAAGAAATATGAGGAAGGAACCGTAAGGATGAATTTCATGAAGAGGAGGGCAGATTAATGCTACTAGCTTCAATGTGCTAAAAAAATCTAAACTGGCCCAATCCTCAGCCTTTCTATGCAAAGTAATTTACTTCAAAGGAGCAATAATCCGCTTCTTTCTTCGCGGTTTCATTCCTGTCACTGGTCCTGCCTTTCAAAGCACCGCTTCTGTCGGAAGGCTGGTCATTCATCAATGACTCATCAGCTATAACAATGGGTGGTAATAATAACCAGCTTCGTAGAACAAAGTCCTTGAGAACGTGACAGTTGCCCAACCCGCCTCTAAGGCACCCGAAGGTTCATTACCATGTTCACAAAATCCCACAACTTTACTCTATCTTAAGTTCCAAAAATCCAGTAAAAGCCCTTACACATTCTTTTGAGGCCAATTTTAATATAATCCGTATACATATAGTCTCCAGGGAGCACGCGGTAGCGTAGTTGGTTGAGTCACTACGCTACAAGCAGAAACGTCACGGGATCAAATCCCGATGAAATCATTGAATTTTTTTTTTCAATTCACCTCATCCTTCCAGCCGCACTATGGCCCTGGGGTCGACTCAGCCTCTAACAGAAATGAGTACCAGGAAGAATTGTTAGGGGTAAAGGGCGGCCGGCGCGTAAGGCTGACAACCTCACCGCCATCTGTTAACCCATTGTCTGGAGAAAATGTGGGAGCCTCAACATGTCACAACCCTATGGGCCTCCACGGCTTGTTACAGGGATAGCTTTATCTTTCTTACATATAGTCTTACAAATGGTCCCTTCTTTTCAGGCTGCCCAACTGAAACTTTGCATGCATCTCTCATTACCTGCATGCATGCTATATGGCCCATCTCATCCGCGCTTTAATCTCTATAATAGTATTTCACGGACCGCCTCTGTGGTCTAGTGGTCACAGTTCCTGCCTATAGATCCAGATGTCCGGGTTAGATTCCCTGCGCTACCAGATTTTCTGAGAAGTAGTGGGTCTGGAACGGGGTCCACTCAGCCTAATGAGGATAATTGAGGAGCTATCTCAAGGAAATAGCGGCTCCGGTCTAGAAAATCGACATCAACAGCCGTGGGGATTCGTTGCGCTGACCACGCGACACCCTCTATCCGCTGAAGTTGGCACTAACCTTCGCCGACAAGCGGCGGTCGCTCGGTCGGTATAGTTCGGTTGCGGACTCATGCCACGGAGTTTGTTCTTCTGTTGTTTGTGTTTAGTCACTAAATGCGTATAAATAATATTATGAATTCCAAAAGTAGATAAATGCCAATTTCCCGCGTTAAATCGAGGGTACTGTAATGTTAAATCCATAAAATATGTTTATCAAGTATGTGTATGCGCGTGTGTGGTGTGTGCGTGTACATGCGTGTGATATCTGCTTTCGTTTGCTACTTCTGGATATATGCCCGATAGCTATGCCCATGAATTTCGATACGGATGAATGCAGCCCGAGTTCAGGAAATGCTGTCAATACAGTTACGGTGGCCTCGTGTGACTTCACAATTAACATTAATTATAATACGAATCTACAAACTTAAAGGGACCTACTGGATGCAGCACGTGAACCTGCATAGTATCAAATTATTATTATTATTTACTTACTTACTTACTTATGGAGCTGAGCCATTCTTGAGGAGAAGCCAAATCTGCAGCTACTCAAGCTACTCCCAGCATTTTATGGAACCCGAAGGTTCATTACCGTGCTCACAAGAGCCCTCCACCGGTCCANATAAATTTTATAATTTTTTCTCTAACAACATTTACACTAATCCTCCAGGATATATTGCTTGTAAAATAGATTACTATGTCTTACATGAAATTCTCAGCTAATTTTAATTCATTTAATTCCTTACATGTAAACAGATATAAAGGCGGACTGTGGCACCACGAAACGAATAAGGTAAAGGTGACGGTAAAGCCGTCCCTGTGCTTAATTAATTACGCGCATGCCATTAAGATGTATGGTGGTGGAGATACAGCTCCACAATTCTTGACCTCTGTACTAGACGGAGCTGAAGGGTCAGCTTCACGCCCTGGCAGTTTAACTCCGCGGAAACAGCCCCCGGTACCCATTGGATAGGAGGCTGGGTGGGCCCCGGAGCCAATCTGGAAGTTATGGGGAAGAAAAGAAATATCTCGCCCCTGCCGCAAATCGAACCCCGGCCGTCCAGTCCGTAACTCGTTGCTATACCGACTGGCTTCCCACCGCGGCGGCTCGGGTTCGATCCCGGGGTCTGGTCAAGTGGAATTTGTGGTGGACAAAGTGGCGCAGGGGCGGGTTTTTCCGAGTATTTCGGTTTCCCCTGCCAATCTTCATTCCACAAAATTCTCCATCATCATAATCACCCGGGGCAGGTACAATAGGCCAATCAGTGGCCGCCGTGCCGAGTGGACCCAGTTGGACTCCACCCCCACTAAGCGAATTAAAAAGAAAAAATCGATCCCGGCTCCTCCTTTACGGATAATACAAATCACAAGTTTCTAATACCGTTACATCTGTCTCAACTGAAATTCAGATTAAACTTCCGGTTACTTCGTCTGTGCATCGTGAGGCTCCTCTTCCTGTAAAGTAATGAGGTACAGGGTACAAGTTCGACCCTTTCAAGCATAGTTATTAGGTTATTAAAAGCGAAACCCAGCTTTAAATCGTAACGTCTTTGAAATATCTTCGTTAAGTTGAATTTATTTTCTTTTCATGAGGTATATCGTTAAATTTGTTAAAATGTTCGTAAGCTCGGGGTTCCGTATGCGTTAAATGAAATGGCTGTCGCAATTTGTTAGTCCGTGCAATGCTCATAAATACGAATTGTTCGTTTCTTGAAAGTTCATACGTAGAGATTCGCCTCTATAGTTTATGCACCACCTGCTATAACATTAAAACAATTATACAGTCTACTCACAGAGTGTGCCGTATGATTCTCAGAATCAGCAGCGAATATTTCCGTGAACATCATTACCAGTCAGGATTTTTAATGGACACACGTGTTTCCTGTGAGGTAGGAACTGAATTTGTAAATAGTATTTTGACGAAAATCAGGATTCAGAAGGTTAAAATAAGACCGGCAGTTTGCGGAATATTATCTAGTCTATGCTGGCACTCTAATTTACTAATATCTGAAAAAATATGTATTAGAATTTTCTGAAACCAACAACTGCAGAGAGCTGTTACACTGGCAAGATTAGGAACCTTCATCCCAAACGCAAGTGAATGGCCACTGTATGAGAATACAACAAAGCTTTCACTGTTATCACGGCGTCTGGAATATTTCAAATACCAATGCTGGGAAACTATGTAAATTAATTAATAAGCCTTGAAATTTAACATATGTGATCAAATACAATTTTTTATATATTGTGAAATTGGGAACTATGTACTTCGCGACACTTACCGTAGCGTAATCCTCTCCAACCTGAGAAGCGGCCAGTGTATTTCGGTACGAACCTTCCTCTTCCAGGCACATTAGTGTCACTATGGTCACTACCACCACTAACACGATTACTACAGTTTCTCACTACACAATTATTCCTTCTAGTGTAAGTAGAACAGAATGTAATAGCTGGGATGCACGCAGCGGGGTGATACGTGAACCCTATGCCGCCAGTTGGACGCGCGGTCTTCAGGCCGGCAGAACACACACACAGCAGCACAAGATGTGCGACTAGCCTCTGCCAGCATCGCGCCATCTCTGCCTGGATCTTCAGCATCCCTACTCCTTTACGCACGAACACGATGTGCGTGACCCACGAGCTCTTCACGCACATACGTGCATATACAGTATTATCAGCGCGCCTACTTACAAAAATAAAGTAATTAAAAACCTTTTAAAAGCTAGGCCAGCACGCTGCATTAAACTTTTCACACGATCCTACATCCAACAGATCCCTGAAGTTACTACAAGTTTTGTATCTTAGAAGATACAGAATCCAAGCCGCCTTATAGGAACACTAATTCGTAACATCGGTTACAATTTTTGGCCAGTTTCATAAAAGGAACAGAAATATTCCTCCTCTATTATCATAAAACATCCACCTTACATTACCCCTTAGCCATCCTCTTAGTTCAGGACATTCTGACAATTTTGACAGACATACTGTAATCGAATGTCAGTCCGAAATTCGCTGTCGCCAATTTATCATGCGGTAACAATTTTACGAAGAGAATATATTAATTTATAGTCCTACATACGACCAATTAAAGTGTGTTCCCCTTAAAGTACTCAATAAAAGCAATAGCTTTAGCGAGTTTTTCCTCAAGGAGAGCACGCTAAGAAGAAACTCCGTCAGAAATTTCTGCAATTGAGTGGCTGACAGGCCTTATAGGGTTAAGGCGACAGCACACACGAACCGAGCGTCACACAGGGGCGACACATTTTATAACCCTTTATTCTTTTGTTACTATATTAAATTTATTTTCTGCTGTCTTCTGTTGATGCCGTGATCATGATTACGCAGTAATGA